AGAACCAAGAGAGATTATGTAAAGGTGCAAATTTCCAATGATGAATGTCATTATATTGTATACCTAAAATGTATCAATAAAATTAATTTAAAAAATGGACACAGAACTTCCAAATTCCCAGTTGAACCACATAGAACAACATTTTATAATAGATAATATTGCCAGTAGGGTGTTTTGTTTTTTAGTTGGCTGCTGAGAATTATGGTCCTTCTCTGGCTGTCTTTGTAGCAAAAAAGTATTTTATAGAACTACATGTTTTTCATCAAGGTTGAAAAAGATTGTGGGCATGTTTATAAGTGACTTTAACTTCTTTTTGAAATTGAAATTACTTTTAGGATAATTTGTAAACTCTTCTGTCAACTTTTCTAAGGTTTCTAATTCACCTGACAATTATGAATTTTCTTGTTGTTTCTTTTTTTAAAAAAGTTTTTCAGTACATGTTTTCAGTACACAATGTTTACATTCCTTGTGAGCAGTTGGAATATGTGTATAACACACCCCAATTACTTTTTTCATCCCCTTTCCCTCCCACCATTCCCTCTCTTCATCTCTTGATCCCCTTCCCATTTCAGAAAGATCTCCCTGCTTCCTATTATCTATCTTTTAATTTGCTCTTTATTTACAATTTGGGTTTCTCATATAAGAAAAATCATGTGATATTTAAACTTGTGAGTCTGATTTATTTCACTTAACATTATGGTCTCAGGGTGTATCCATTTCTCTACAACTGCCTCATATTTATCTTTATGACAGAGTAGTACATTATGTGTAAATGTAACATCTTCTTTATCCATTCATCTCTTGATGGGCATATAGGCTGCTTCCAAGATTTCAGTTTTGTGAATTGTGCTACTATAAACATGGGTATACATGTATCACTATAAATAATGTTTTTAACTCTTTCAGAAATACACCTGGGAGGGGAATAGCTGGGTCAAATGGAATTTCTAATTTTAGTTTTTTGAGGAATCTCCGTACTGATTTCCATAGTGGTTGTACCAGATTATATTCCCACCAACAGTAGAAGGCTTCATTTTATCCTGCAGTTTCACCAGTGTTTGTTACTATCTGCCACAGCAGGGTGTTAGCTATTTTAGGTTTGCCTACTGGAGGCAGCATAGTGGTGTCTGTAAGCTTTGGTTCAATATCTTCCTGAGACATTTGTCCACTAACCCAACCACAAAAGGGAACTATTCCAAAAGCTTATGCAGTTGGTCTGTTTACTTACCCTCTCTAATTCTTCTGTGACATTTTTACTTTAATAGTCTTGCATGCAATAAGTAAATAGATTAACTTTGCATTGATATATTAAGTCCAAATGCACTGAAAAGTTTCGGGTTATAGATGACATTTTTCTTCTAGGATGACATTGACTGTAAAATTTTAAACATACTTGTTAATCTTATCTTACTGTTTTTTAAGACATTGGTAAAGTTGATTTCCTTATGATGAATTTCATGTTGCACTTTGCTGAGAGTAGAAGATTATTGTTGTCTTTAGATGGGTCGAAATTTGGAGTGTGGGTCTCAGAATTGTCTAAGACAAAGACAGAGAGAAGTCCTTGATGATGGCTAAAATAACCAGTCTGGTACATTAAAAGCAGAGTTTTGTGATTACTTCCTAGGTAGTAAAAAAGAGAAAGAAATAAAGGGACAGTTAAGCACCCAACTCTAAATGTTGTTTTCTGTCAATTCCTTAATTTCACACTTACCTCCCTCTTTTCCCATTTGGATTGGCCATTTTTGTTTTTGTTCTGTTTTTCTTTGTTCACATTTCCTACTTTTAATATTACCAAGTGTGAGACCTTTCTCTTACTTTGAAGCATGCACTCTTTGAAGGAGTTTGATAACTAAATGGAGAAAATTAAGTAAAGATAAGTTTCAACTCCCAGAGATACATTACAAGGGCATATGAAAAATTTGTGGACAGCCTCAAAACCTTTTGAAGTCCAGATACTAATCACTTTTAATACAGCTTATAAAATTTGCTCTCTGGATATAGATGTGTAAACATAAAATAATAACAAGGGCAAGCCTTAAAGCCGTCAAGAAGATCATCAGTTTGAGTTCATGTCCTTTAATTCCTTAGTTGAGCCATGTTTTCTAGGAATTAGATCCTTGAAATTGAGTTAATTCTCTGTTTGGGAGTGACCTCAGGTTGAACACAATAGAGTTCTTGACTAAAAGATCTATTTGTAGCTTGTGAAATAGTAAGTGACCATCAATACCTGTACTCTTACAAATGTATAATAGTATCTAGATATTAGTGGCATCTAATTAAATTGCTGGGTCTTTTAAGATAGCGTGTTATATCACCCACACAGCAGTGTCATCTATGTGAGTTCTTTGTCCTTGCAGTGTCCAGCTCCCAGCTATTCCCACCCTGGTCACCAGGAAGAGCTCAGAATATCGTGAGTGTGTGACCTCGTTGTATATCTCCTCCACAAGAACCTAGGTTGGTCACTGAGATCTCTTCTGACATGTCATGACTATTGTTAGCTCAGCAGAGTAAAATGTATTTCTTCTTGTGCTTGGTGAAGGGTATGGTAGACTTGGATAACTTTTGGGCTAGAAAAAGGGTACCCATCCCTCGCTTGAAAAACAGAGACTCTGAGTGCTGCACACACATTGCTTTCTGGAAGAGCCACTGAGTTGTCTTCAATCCATTTCATTTTCTGTAAGTGTTACAAATACAAAAGAAAGAACCTTATATTACTTATGATAGAAGTACACTTGTATAAGCTAAGTCTGACATTGTTATTAATTTAGATATATTGGGGAAACTAGTATGAATTTAAAAAAATTAAAGAAATAATTAAATTACTTTTGAGC